ATGTAGACGCTACCATCTTCGCAAGCAGCCGCCCAGAAGTGCTTGTTGCCAGTGACTAGGATTACAGCCCTAGAGAGATAGTCCTGCCAGAGAAGGGTGCCACGCTTCGTGACTGTGATTTGCGATGGATCCTTGATCTGCACAGGGTTGCGGGCTTCGAGAACAATGTTCTCCGGAACCTTAGCAGCGTCTTCGATAGTTGTCTCGCTCAGGAGTACACCTCGCTCCATTGGCCGCACGATATGTGACCGAACTTTCGGAACAGCAAGCCGTATTTGAGCAAAGGTGATGGACGGGTTCAAAACAGCTGGTCGGAGGAAGTCGGGAGTTGGTGCGATACCGTGAGGTGCTTGGACCATAGCCGCAGGTTCAACGCCATCGACACCGTTCACCACAATGGGTGTCGGTCCAGTTGCTTGACGCTTGGCAAAAGGGTCGTCTCCTTCTTGCGGCTCCATCTCGATAGCTTTCCTCTTGTTGCCGAGCAGCATGGCGGCGATGCCACCTCGCGGCAAGCCATCGACGGGTTTGCCGAGGTCGAGTATTGACAAGGGCGCGTCGTTCTGCGACGCCTTTGCCGTGGATGTTGACCCGACGAGCTGTGTCTGAGGCATCGACATCTGCCCAGTGCCTGATGACGAGACCAATAGTGGCGCAACCCGTTTCTTGCCGTCCTTGCCCACGGTGACTCGAGACTTCAGCTCCTTCACCCGTTCAGCTGTCTTGTCGGCACTTTCTTCGTGCTTCTCTTTCTCCTTCTCCTTCTCCTCAGGCTCGTTTTCTTTTTCTTTTTCCTTCTCCTTCTCGGGTTCAGTATGCCCATTGGTCGGTTTCGGCGTCGAAGCGTTGGTACCGTTTGTCTTTGTGCCATTTGCAGACGGTGCTGCCGCGTCTGGAAGGTCACCCATCAAGGCGCCCATGCGGGACTCTGCCGCCTTGGACTCTCCTGCCTTGCTCTGGTTCTCCAGCTGCAGCCCTTCAACGTCCTCCGCGATGCCCATGCCCTTGCGGGAGACACCGTATTTCTGCAGCGCCTTGTCGTTCTCCTCCGCATTTGCGACCCAGCCGAGTTCGCCCGTATCGAATCTAACTGCGATAATAGCGCCGTCCAGACTTGCGGCGAAGAGGGTCTGGCCATCAGGGGTCCAGGACAGGTCGGAAATAGACTTGCCAGCGAGGTCCTGCAGAATAACCACCGGTCGTGATGTGTTGGTGTTCCAGATACTGAGGGTCTTGTCCTGGCCAGCTGATGCTATGACGGTCACCAGCGAGCCAACGTTGTCGTCTGTGATCTCGGCTGGGTTCACTGTATGGAACAGCCTCGGGGAAAACATGCAAACTTCCGTTGGACCCTCGTGGCCAATGAGGTTGATCTCACTGTCCCACCGCGTACGCTCGATAATGGCGACAGAGCTGACCGGCCCGTTGACTGCGTTCGCAGCTGCAATGTGGTTGCCGTCGGGCGACCACGAGCAACGCCGAAAGTATGTCGTCAGAGGCGAACTCTTGAACGGTGCGTTGATAGTTGTTTCCACCACAAAGTTGTTCACCATGTCGTGTTGCGTCGCGTTAGGTGCGGGAGGAGTGAATCGGAAGATTTTAATGGACCTGTCGTCGCTGGCGGTTGCGAAGAACTTGTTCGCGGGGTCGAAGGTGATGCCTTTGACGTGGCTTGTGTGGACGGCAAGTGTCTTTAATTTCTCGAACGTATGTCCGGACCAGACCACGACTTTGGAGTCCAGGCCAACGGAGACGAGGATCGAAGAGTCGTACGACCAGGCAATATCCTGCACGTCATTGTCGTGGCCTACGAGACGCTTGTAGGTCTTCCAATTTTCGACAGGGGGGACATCGCCGGTGCCTACAGAGATAACGGTCAGCATGCCGTCAAGAGACGCATTGAGAAAATCGGCGTACCAAAGGAAGCAACGGGCGGGTTCTTGTCGAGGTGATAGACGCAAATCAGCTTGTCATCAGCGCCCGAAGCAAGATATCGCCCGTTTGGAGACCATCGAACGGAGTGAATGGTGCCGAGATGGTGGCTCATGTGGCAGAGCTGCCTCGGCTTGCCCACATTGTCATCGCTGTTTGTGCCATAGATGGCTTCAGTCGACCAGATCCGAACGTGACCATCGCCTCCAGCTGTCGCGAGCCGCTTTCCGTCGGGGGAGACGTGGCAGCTGTAGACTTCGTAGTCCTTCTGCTCGCCGCTATGGCTCAGCCAGGCTGGCTTAATGACGTGCATTGTTGGGTGTACACATGGATATCGGAAAGAGTGTTGCGTTCATGCAGGTGTGTCGATGGTCGTCGCGTCGTCAATGTGATGATGGATGTGTGGTGGTGATGATTAGACAGGGTTCGCCTTTGGCTTTGGGCTTGCGACAAGGGAAACGCGCCTGGATGCGACCAACTTTCTCTGCGCGGCGCGCGTTGGCCCAATGTGCTGGAGAGGTCCGTTCAAGCTTGGCCCGATTAGATAACGTTGCGAAAGCCCCCGGTGCTGAGTCAGTGTCAGTGGCTGTGGCCACCAGTGGCTTGTCCCAGGAGAGAGTTCAGCAGTCCAAGTTCATTGCCCTAGCATGTTTCCTATCCTTCGGCATGTTTATTATCATGGCATTGGATGACGATCAATTGACCGATCTGCCTTCATTCCTTTGCTTTCTTGTCCTTCTGACTTTGACTATGCACAAGACCATCTCGTCACGATATCGTCAAGCTACACACATGAGTAGTCTCTACTCTGTCAAAAGCCCGGCCCGGATTCGCATAACGAGCAACAGACGAGGAGAGACACGATGTGATTTTATCCCAAGTCTCTCATTGGGAGCACAAGACTCTGGGTGGTTCATTTCACTTTCACATCAGCGCTATTCAGAGTCATATTCGTTTTCATTCATGCTATCATCGCAGCTCGCAAATCTCAGGCAGGACGAGTCAATCGCTGCCAATGCCCAGAAAGACGTAGTCATTCCCCGGCGGAGTAAGGTATCAACAAGAAGCCAATGGTGAGAAACAAGCACGCTGTAAAGTCGCCGGCTTCATCCCTGCGCCGGCCACCTCGAAATCACCAAGCTCTCCCACTTCCCGAATCAACCATTCCACCCTTAACCCAGGGTGGTGCCGCTGCATCCGACAAAGGCGTTGCCGCTAGCGCCGGTGTGGGTGATCTGGCCAGCAATGGCACAGTTGCCGTTGATGATGACACGGTCAGCACCAGGGGAGCCTACACGGCAAGCGCACGTTAAATGGCGATTCACAGACGACGGGGGGTGGATACGTGTGTGGAAGGTATATATGTCTCTCTCCCCCTGGGGGAGAAGCATATGTAACCCGAGGGGTATCCCTGCGCGGGGGGGGGGTATTTTGTAAATGGAGGTCTCTATGTTGTTGGTATATATTTGGAGCTTTTATGATATATGCGTATAGTGTGAGAGCGGATATGTATTATTCTTAGATAGAGACAGAATATATGTCCAGCCCGATAGATAAATAGGACCTCTACAATTGAAACGCTATATATAGAGACGGACGGCGATGGCGTGCAAAGAGAGAGACGTATGGAGCCGCGAACGAAGATATCGATGTACCTGACTACATAGAGGTGCATCTGCTAGGACGACACGAGAATAAATCGCTGAAGCGCGAGTGACGACTATGCTGCAGTGGACGCAGATACGAGTCTACTGATCTAGCGAGTACGATTCGACATCGATTTTCATCATGTACATATCGCTATATA